TATACTACAAAGCTACTGTGATAAAAACAGCATGGTACTGGCAAAGAAACAGACCTGAAGATCAGTGGAATAGATTAGAAGATGCAGAAACAACAACAGATATACTTAGTCACCTCATCTTTGACAAATGAGCCACCCATTCTCATTGGAGGAAAGATAGCCTATTTAATAAATGGTGTTTGAAAAATTGGATTTCAACCTGCCAAAGATTAAAACTAGACCCATACCTATCACCATGCACTTAATTAAGATCAAAGTGGATTAAAGATCTAAATATTAAAACAGAAACATTAAATTTGCTGGAAGATAAGTTAGGTAGAACTCTTGAAGACACAGGCATAGGAAAAGACTTTATGAACAAAACCTCAATAGCATGGGAACTAGCACAAGAATCAACAACTGGGATCTCATCTTATTTAAAAACTTCTGCACTGCAAGAGAAACCACCAACAGAGCTAAGAGACAACCTACAATGTGGGAAAAAATTTTTAGCAGCTGCACCTTAGACAAAGGACTACTATCTAGAATATATAAAGAAATGAAAAAAATTAGACCCCCAAATTCAAAGACCCAATTCAAAAATGGGCTTCTGAAATGAACAGACTTTTCTCAAAGAAGTAAAAGCAGCGAATAAATATATGAAAAAAATGTTCAACATCACTGTTTATTCGAGAGATGCAGATGAAAACAACTCTGAGATTCCACCTCACCTGAGAAAGAATGGCTATTATAAAGAAATTATCCAATAACAAATGCTGGCGTGGGTGTGGCGAGAAAGGAACCCTTCTCCATTGTTGGTGGGAGTGCAGACTGGTGCAACCACTGTAGAAATCAGTATGGAGATACCTCAAAGAACTAGGCTTAGAGGTCCCATTTGACCCAGCTATCCCTCTGCTGGGTATCTTCCCCAAAAAACTAAAAGAATCATACCACAGTGATATATATGCACCCATGTTTATAGCGACATAATTTGTAATAGGTAAAGCTTGGAAACAACTCAAGTGCCCATCAACTGGAGACTGGATAAAGAAGATGTGGGGTTTTTTTATAAAATGGAGTACTACTCAGCCATAAAGAATGAGAAACTAGAGACATTTATAGCTAAATGGATGCATATTGAGGCCATCCTCTTAAGTGAAATAAATAGGACACACGTGTAAATACCGAATAGTTTCTCTAGTGTGAGAAACTAAAAGTATAATTAAGGATTAAAATGATTAAAACAAATAATGGATAATTTTAAATATGAAGAAAAGGTTCAAAGGGGTAGGGGTGGCAGGAGGGGAAGGGGAGAGATCAGGTTACAGGCTGGAATCTGGAAAGAATCCATATATAGATTGTTTAAAAGTATAGGAAGAGATGTAGATAGAGACTAGGCTGGAGCTCATCAGTGGGTTGGGAAGGAAGAGTCACTGACATCAAAGGAGAGGAGGGTGTGTTTCCAGAAGAATCACATACAACTATGTATAGTACACAGTACTCGATAGTATGATAAATGACTGTTACTGTTTTAGGTACTTATCATAACATGCTGTGCTTTTCATCCTTTAGAGCATAATCCTACTTATATAAAAGAGTTTACTGTAAAATAGTGTGCTGCTATCCCAGTGGTAGCCTCATGTATCTCGTGTTTAACTGCATATTTGGTAATATCAAGGGGCCCTCACAAACCTTTTCAGTTTGAACTTAGAAGTTGGCACTCTGTGTGGTACTTTGTGATATACATGGATGAAATTGCCTAATAAAATATTTCTCAGATTATATTTCCATCACATGTCACATGACTGTATTGAAATTTAAATTAAAAAAATGTGGCCTATGTAGAGTCTACTAGTTAATTAGAAGTTTTTCTCCAGACCACTATTTGTTCAATATTAGTTTTGAAAATCTTTTTAAAACAAATCACATCCTCTGAGGTCTTGTTAATGCTTGAGATTTTTTTTTTAAATTATATGGAAAAATGTTTAAGTACTTTTCAATTTTGCTTTAGTTGAGTTCTATTATATTCGAATATTATTATAGTTTTTTTCCCTTGGATTGCTTTTCTTTGAATAATTTTAATTTTTGTATATGTGTGTGTTTAGTGAATGGTAATAAAGTTATACATTATTCAAAAAAAATAAAAAAGTAAAACCCAATAGTTAGCTGCATCCAAAAGGCACATCTAGTCTAATCCAAAAATAAATTCATAGATTAAAAAATATCAAAGGGGGAAAAAAGTAATACTCCATGCATCAGGACCCCAAAAGCAAGCTGGGACAGCAATCTTATTCTCAGATGAAGTGGACTTCAAGCTAAAACTGATCAAAAGAGGCAAAGTAGGTCACTGAATATTGGTTGAGGAAACAATTCAATAGGAAGACATAAAAACTGTAAATATATATGCACCAAATACAGTGTACCCAACTTCATAAAACCAACACTAGTGAACATACGAGATCAAGTAAACATCGAGACAATCATAGCGGGGGACCTCAATAGCCAACTTTCACAAATAGATAAAAGAGAACTTTTCTTATGCTTAGGTCCCAGAGTACTAGTAGCAAGGTTTACTACCTGTGTTAATTACTTTTATGTGTTGACATGTCTAGTCCATAGGGTGCCCAGATATTTCATCAGACATTATTGTGGGTATTTCTGTAAGTGCTTTAGATGAGATTAACATTACCTATGTATACTTTGAGTTGGCCTCTATAAAGTAGGAAGGTCTCATCCAATCAAGAGAAAGTCCAAACAAAACAAAAAGAACAGCCTGCCTGCGGAAGAGACACACCTCCAGCAGACTGTTTTCAGGCTTTCTATGCAACAACAGCTCTCCATGGTTCAACAGCGGACTGACTTTAGACTGAAACTGAAACATCAGCTTTCCTGAGTTTTTAGCCTGCGGGCCTACCCTATAGATTTTGGATTTAATGGCCTCTATAACTGTGGGGGCAATTCCTTATAATTAACCATATACATATACACACATATGCTATTGATTCTCTTTCTCTGGAGAGCCCTGAAGCCTGATAGGCAGAGACCAGAGAATTCTCTGAGAAAACTAACAGTCATCTGGAAGGTTCCCCAACAACACATCAAGACTCTACAATGAAAAAATCCTGCTCATGAGCACAAGTTTTCAATCATCATTTTAGTGCATACAAACAAGCGCATGTCTAATAGAGGGAGAATCCCCCAAATCATCTTCACTAACTCTTAGGATGAAAAAATGCACCTTCTTATTACAAAGACTGTTTCCAAGACAGCCCAGCATATGAGATATAATAACATGCCTGCTTCATTTCTCACCATTCATGCCTGCTATCAGAAAGGCAATTTCTATGTTTTTGTTTCCTTCATAGATAGAGCACTGAGAGATATGCATGGATATAGATAAGATACAAATCTTTGTCAAGTATCATAAATTCACATATCCAAAACACTCCTTACACAGCCTATTACTATTATGTAGGTTATGCTACATAGGAACATATATAACCTTTGTCTGACATTGTTGGACTTGCCCAAATTCACCAAAATTAAGCTCATCAAAACAATATTATAAATGTATCTTTATAAATAGGTGTTAATTGATAATGAAAAATTCAGTAATATACTATATAGAATGTTAGTGATGAAACCATATATTTAATACCTGGGTTTAAAATTTTTAGGCAATAATTTTCTAAATCATTTTTAACTTAAATATAACCTGTGTTTCAGTTAATACTACATATCAAGATCTTATAATAAAAATGTTATTTCCATTAATAAGTTTGCTATAACATAGGAAAATATACATCTTTTCACAGTTTGTACTAATGTGAAATCAAATTCAATTTATTCAACAATATTATAACTAATATCCTCAGAGAACAAAGAGAAGATAACATATCCATGGAACCAAGACAGAAAGCTATAAAACAATAACAATCATTGAACTACATGTATTAAAAGGAAACCTCACAATAGAGGAGCATAAATATGTTTTGTGTGTCTTTCATTCAATGTGAATGGCTTCAGGTAGGCCATGATGGCTTCAGTTAGGCACTGAAACTACTACTTCCAATTGTTTTATATATAGAACTTATAGATTTCTGTTACCTGGCAGGTAGAGTGGAAATAACAATGCAAGAGAGCCATAAGGACAAGACATAATGTTCAGAGAACATATTAAAGTTTAAGTATCTATAAAAAAATGTCTTGAAATATTTTCCTAGATGCATCCACAAAAACTATAAACTCACAAAGTCATTTCTTGCCACACCCTAATACTTTTCTAGCTATAGCAACCTAGTTCTTTAAACAGGGTTTTGTTGCCTGACATCTGCATGTCTTTGCTCAGGCTGTTCCTTCTGTCAGGAATACCCTTCTTTCCCTTCTTTGCCTACTTAAATCCTATTCATCCCAATTTTCTCTCATCTATCAGCACTCCCGCTTAACCTCCAATCTGACTGTTTTGCTTGGTGGGAGTGTGTGTGTGGGGGGGTTGTTTGTCTTTTTGGTCCCGGGGATGAACACAGGGACCGCTGCAACCCAAGTAAGTGCTCTATCACTGAACCACAACCCCTGGACCTGACTGTGATTTTTTATTTTTTTTGACTCATTTCCCCAGAAAATAAGTACCTGAAGATAAAGGATTCATTTGATTTTATATTACCAAAGCCTAGCTCAGTCCCTGACACATAGTAATAATGACTAGTCTTAGATCTTTTCAATACTCACCATTTTGGCTTGAAGATCAAGCAGTTTTCTCACACGAAATGGTTTGACTACAAAAGGTAAAAAAAAAAAAAAAAGTCTTATGCATTTGGTTTAGAAAAAGAAGAAATGAGTTATATTTAAACACAATTATGTCATATAGTTTCTTCTTATAACACATCAAGAAAATAAACATCCTGTTTAGCTGAACCATTAAGCAGATGCTCTTAAAGTATTGAAAAGCAATTTACACAGAGGATTATCATATAAATAATAGTAGTAGTTATTTTAACTTTATAAACTACAAAACAAATGCTAATTCCACAGAGTGAATGTAATACAATTGGAATGAAAATACTCACCATTGTCTTTTTTGGTGAGTAAATATAGCAAGTGGCAGACATAAGGGCACTATAAAAATATTTAAAAAATTAAAAGAGAAATGACAACATATCTTAAACAAAGCAGTAATATATTCTCAAATATCAATCTCATGCTAAGTAAAAAGGCTTCAAGATAGTTTTATAAAGCTTCTCTTTTTTTATACAATAGGCTGAGCATTCCTTATCCAAAACTGTTGAGACCAGAAGTGATTATAAGTTCTGCTTTCTTTAGATTTTGGATTATTTGCATATATAAAATGAGATATCTTGGGAATGAGACCGAAGTCTAAAAACAAATTCATTTTTGTTTCACATAAACCGTAAATAGATTGAAGGTAATTTTATACAATATTTTTAGTGTACCTATTTTAACTGCAACTTATCACATGAAGCCAGGCAGGGAGCTGTCCTCTTTAAGATATAAACTTAAAACATTTATTGGGATTTCTCATTTAAAAGCATTTTTTCATGTCTTCAAAATTATCATTGTCAATGATGCCTCATATTTCAGTAAGGACACCATAACTATTTTATGTGTGGGATGAGGATCAAACCTAGAACCTTGCACACGCTGAGCAAATGCATAACCCCAACCCAGATACATCATTAATTAAAAGCACAATCCTCAGAATGACAAATAATACCTACTTGATAAACTTGTGTTTTAAATAACAGAATGATTTTTTTGAGGAATTTCCATATTGATTTCCATAGTAGTTCTACCTATTTACACTCCCACCAACAGTGGAGAAGGGTTCCTTTTTCAACACAGCTTTGCCAGTATTTGTTGTTGATTTCTTGATGGTAGCTATTCTTTCTGGAGTGAGATGGAATCTCAGTGTTGTTTTGCATTTCTTGAATGACCAATGATGCTGACCATCTTTTCATATATTTATTTGCTGTTTGTACTTCTGCATCTGAGAAGTGTCTATTCATTTCAGATGACCATTTTTGGATTGGGTCTTTAAATTTGGGAGGGTCTGATATTTTTCAATTCTTTGCACATTCTAGATCTTTTAGTCTTTTGTCTGAGGAACAACTGGCTAACATTTTTCTCATTCTGTGCGTTGTCTCTTCACTCTGTTGATTTTTGCTGTGCAAAAGCTTTTTAATAAGACAAGATCCCAGTTGCTGATTCTTTTTTTTTTGGTACCGGGGATCGAACTCAGGACCTTGCACTTGGTGAGGCAGGTGCGGTGCTACTGAGTTAAATCCCCAGACTCTGTAGGATTTCCCATGTAGCTGGAGTTTTGTTCCTGAAGTCTTTGCCTACACCTATGTCCTCAAGAATTCTACCTCGTCTATCTTCCAGCAGATTTAGTGTTTCTGTTTTAATATTTAGATCTTTGATCCATTCTGATTTTAGTTTAGTGCACGGTGAGAGACACAGGTCTAGTTTTAGTCTTTGGTATGCAGAAAGCCAGTTTTTCCAGCACCATTTATCAAAGAAGCTCTGTTTCTTCCACTGAAGGTGTTGGCCCCTTTGTCAAAGATAAGGTGGCTGAGTGTGTTTGGAGTTGTTTCTACATCTTTTATTCTGTTCCATTGATCCTTGGGGTTTTAGGGGTTTTTTGCCAGTACAATTCTGTCTTTATCACGGTAGCTTTGTAGTATAATTTCAAGTCAGGGATTGTTACGCCTCCTGCCTCGCCTTTGTTGCCAAGAATTGCTTTTGCTATTCTAGGTCTCTTCTAGTTCCAAATGAATTCTCTCTAGTTCTGAGAGGTATGCTATTGATATTTTGATTGGGATTGCACTGAGTGTGTATAATAGTTCTATTTGACCTAGTTATTTCCCTTCTTGGTATCTATCTTGATATCATCCTAAAAGAGTTAAAAGCATCATACCATACTGATATATGCACACCCATGTTTACAGCAGCACAATTTGTAATAGCTAAATCTTGGAAACATCCCAGATGCCCATCAATAGATGAATGGATAAGGAAAATGTTTTTATATATATATACACACAAACACACACACACACAATAGAGTACTACTTGACCATAAAGGATAAACTTGAGACATTTTTAAGTAAATGGATGAACTTGAGACCATACTTCTACGTGAAATAAATTGGACACACGTTTAAATATTTTATTGCTTCTCTTGTGTGAGAAACTGAAAGGGCAAATAAGGATCAAAATGGATGATATTGGGAAGTTGGAGGAAAATGTTCAAATAGGAAGGGGAACAAGGGAGGGGGTAGAGAAAATGGAAGGGAAAAGAAAAAAAAAAGAAGAAAAGAAGAAAATGGAAATAAAGCTTTTGTAAATAAGGAGTGGAAGAGGGTTGAAGTGAGGGGAGGGAAATGGGGAAAAAAAGAATCAAGATATATTATGCTGGGCCGGGGATTTAGCTCAGTGGTTCCACCGCCTGCCTCGCAAGCTAAGGACCCGAGTTCGATCCCCGGTACCAAAAAAAAAAAAAAAAGATATATTATGCACAGGTACAAATCTCCTATGATGAATGTGATCATTATGTACATCAAAAGTGTACCAATAAAATTAAAAAACAAATCATAGAATGACCAGTTCAATATTTCATTTTGCATGTCCATCTGTTGAAGTCTTCTATATCAAGGTTCAGCACTCTATGGTTTGTTTTTGTAAATAAAGTTTTATTGGATTACAGACTTCATGTTTATTTATATATTGCCTACAGCTGCCTTTGCTCTAGTCCAGCAGACCTGAGGACTTGGGATAAAAACAGTACGGCCCTCAACCCTAAAATATTTACTATTTAGCTGTTTAAGAAACAATTGCCTCCCTTGTTGCTTTTGCTGCTTCTGCTGCTGTGAACTGCTGCTCCTCCGTACCCTGCCTTGGGGGACAGCCGATTATGGACTGAAACCTGTTGATGAAATATGGATACTGACACCAAACTGATTATCAGCACTCTTTTTACCAGCTTTCTCACCTTTCAGTTTCTTTTCTACTTTGTAAGTTACTGGTTTTCTGCAAAAGTTTCTTCAGGTTTTAATAGTCTCAGCTTGGGAAAGAAGATTGAATGGAACTCAAGGGTAGTCTCTACATGCCATTCTTTTGTGGTTGCGATTTTAGGCCTATATATTTTCTTCTTTGATGAGGCTACGAGAGCTGATTTACTTTGGGGCAATTCATCATTTGTGAAACTAAATATTGCTACTGCTTCAGAGTACCTCATTTCTGATTTGTTGATTTTCATTTTCTATTGGAAAGTGATTGGTGACAAATTTTTCATAATTCATTATTGTGCAGCATTGTATGCATACTGGTTTGTACTGAAATATCAAGTGCTGGGGTACATTGCAAATTTTTTACTTGCTTGCAGAGCTTTCCAGCCCTTTTGTGAATCAGCAGTGGTTCTTTGAAGCTCTGAACTATCCAAAGGTTTCCAAAGCTAATGTCATCAATGGAATTCTCGTGACAGTGGTGTTCTTCATTGTGCAGATTGCTGTAATACCTCCTTTCTATAGCTTATTGTATCCCGTGTATGGAACAGAACCCTACATCAGCCTAATCCAATGTTCCTGGATCTCGACTTGTATTGTCTGGGATGTGATGAATGTCATGTGGATGATCAAAATCTCTAAAGGGTGCATCGAAGTCATCTCTCTCATCAGACAAGAGAAAGCCAGTAATAGTCTTCAGAATGGAAAACTTGATTAAAGGTGTGGTTTGTCGAACACCTTTGTTTAGATAAGCAATCTTCATTACTACCCAGCATTATATCTACTAATAGGATGAATTGGCATGTTCTTGTGGTTCCTTATGAATTATAATTGTTATTCAGTGTTTCAGTGTCATATTTTCTTCTTTTTAGAAGAAACTAAAATTTAGTCTTTATCCCAAGATTTTCTCTATTCTTCTGCATTATAAGCATGGATAAAATCTAAAAGTTTTAAATAAAAATTATAAATATAGTGGTGAATCTTTTCAGAAATCTCGTAGCCTGCATTTGTATTTTTCTCTGTGGAAAGATGACTGTGATAATTTGGGGCACTTGGTGTGCTACTACTTTTGCTGAAAAGATGGGAACTATGTTTAAATCTGTAAATAACTCTCAACACTTTTTTGTGTTGTACTTTTTTCTTATGTCAACACCTATGTAGGTTTTTAACCTACAATTTTAACCTACAATAACAGTTTTCCAAATTGTTGACATGATCTCTTCTCCAGGCTATTAGAAGTGACATTTTCTATTTTAGATATGCAATCTTCTACTAGTGATGAAGTATTTTACTAATTTTGAGGATTTTTCATTAGTTTGATCATGGAATATACTTCCTGGATTTTAAGATTTTTTTTAGATGTCACTTATTTCTATTTTAGCATTTTATCACCTTATTTCCTTTTACTTTGTAGCAAGGCTTAAGGCAGATATTGTGGACCTCCTTTAAGGATGAGATTCTTCTAAGAATTCACATTGATAAATGACTAGGCTAGTGATGGTGAACCTTTTAGAGCTTTCATGATGCAGCTACTGCAGCATGTGTGTCATAGGTTTGCCACCACTGGACTAGGCTAATGCTGTAGAAAAGATCTATAAGAAAAATCATTTTAACATTGCTGTCTGCTTCCCTTTCATTTTTTCTAAGAAAAATATATTATTGCTATGTGTAAAATCTCCCAAGTTCAGAACCTAACATCATCAGTAGTCTTCTTATGCAGTATGTTTTGTCATGCTCTAAAAATAGGTCTCTTCAGGGTGGGGATTTTAGCTCAGTGGTTCTGCCACCTGCCTTGTAAGTGCAAGGACCCGAGTTCAACTCCCAGTACCAATAAATAAATAAATAAATAAATAAATAAATAAATAAATAAATAGGTCTCTTCTGGACCAGACCAAAATGACAAAATATTCATGTTTTACTCAGTTTACATGCACACTTTTTTACTCAGCACTTTGAGTGTTTTGAACTTCTGTCTTTCTTAAAAAAGCCTGAAGGAATAAGATAATTTAATCCAAGCATTCTGGTTATCAAAATTACTGACTTAACATGAAAATAAATGACTCTGTGTGTGTGTGTGTGTGTATATATGTGTAT